GACTGCGTTATCACCTTAACAAAATGAATCTGTCCGTAGAGATAGATAGTTGATTTTGCTTAGAAGCAGATGATTCTACCACTCATATTCTCTGTGACTGCCTAGCCTTGATCTGGGCCAGGAGGAGGTCACTGGGTCGCAAACTACCGACATTTCAACTTTCATTTGGAAGGCGGAATGTATTCTACACAAAAGATCAATCATAATCGCGGTGCTCTGCTTCGTTGGGAGCCATTATTCCATTTACTCCTATTCTATTAGATCTTTTTGAAAAGCAGAAAGTTTATTTATAAATTCTTTCGACGACGATGTATTCTCGAGAATATCCTAATATAATAACCGCTATGTGGAAGTACTTTAAATGTCGAATCGTACGCAATAGGTCACGACGCACTACTACTACTACTATGAAATTTCAGAAATATCACCGCATGACCATTATGTATATCATTGGTCGCATTTTCCTAGAATATGTAGATGATGTTTGCTTGGTGATTCATAAAGCTATAGATCCCCAACAGTCTTTATATAGATACCTGTAAAGCCCGTCTAGAAATAAACTAAATAAACTGTAAAGATATTTCGTTTCGCTGCAAATTTTCTATAAAAAAAATACCTAATGAGTGTGAAAATATCAAAGAACCATTAAAGCAAAATATCTGTCATTTTCCTAAGGCGTCCTAAGTATATATTTTTTAAGCTGCAATTTATTGTTTTTTTTTTGTCCTAAAGCTGCTTATGCAAAAAAGCAAGTGGCACTTCTTTGTAAGAAAAGCTTGTTAGAGACAAAGAGAGAAGCTTTTGTTTTGCTATACAAAACTTAAGCTCTTTTTTAATTAGCTTGGATTTCATTTTCTTCTCAATTTCGTAGAGAAACTCACCACGCTTTCTTGATCAAGCCATATGTAGACACCAACGAGGGCTAAATTTCTTCATAGCCACAAACAGTTTTCAACAAGCCGTGCTCGAGTTAACAACGACGTCTTCGGTGGTAAGTGTTCAGCGCACGCGATTCATATCTCGGATTTGATAGTGCTTAGCTTACGTTTTGGTGCAGAAACGCACACTTACGTGCTTTACTTCTTTTGTGTGGTAGTGTGGTAGTGTTAGTAGTAAAAGTTCATCTATGCGGCGCCTTTTTAAAGTGAATTCGCTGAATGCGAATGTGTGTGTGTGCAACTTATGAAAAGTGAATAATCAGCTCAAGAAAAAAGCGGATAACACAAATAATAAATGAAATGAAAGATATATACGTAAAAGCGAGTGTACATTGTGTACAGCGAGCTATACATATTAGTTAAATACATACATATATACATACATACATACATACGTGCATATATATGAACAGAAAAGCATATATTGCAGGGAAGAAAAAACTTTCTTTTTTCTCTCTCGTTGTGCAAATAATGTGAATATGCGAAGAAATAATTTTGAAGTTTGAAAACAGCAACAACAAAAACGAAGTGCAATAATAATTTAAACTTTTTAATTTTTAATTTTTAATTTTATTTTAAACATTTTTGGTTAATTAATTAAAATACAATTCTGAGCTGAATTCGTGTGCAAAAAATTCAGGCTGCAAGTGTGCCACTCTGCAGTATGCGGTGTGCGGTGTGTGGTGTGTGGTGTGCGGTGTCCGGCGTATAGTATTTGGCACTTGTTTGAAATTCTGGAAATTTATGAGATTTTCAAATTAATTTTTTTTTGTTTTTGCTTACAAAACTTGGCTACTGACACATACACACATACATACGTACATATATCATCTGTCTATATTCATAGTTTGTTTATTTATGCGAGTACTTAATAATTCAAGTGTGGCTAATTCAGTTGGTCATACTGGAGTAACTTGGCCAATTAAACTTACTTTACTGTTATGTTTGCTTTCTTGGCGATATCAGCGGTGGTAAATGGTGCGATTAATACATTTGGAATGAAAATAAAAATGATTTCTTAAATTAAAAAATTTATAAATTAAATTTTAAATAACAGTAATAATTTCTTTTACTAAAAAATAATTAATAGTTTTTAAAAATATATTGAATTATAAGTGAAAAAATAATTGTTAAGGTTTGAGGAAGTCAGTAAATTAGATTAGATCATCTTATTGATTCTAGAAATCCACTTATCATACTAACCTCAGACTAAATCCATTTCAAGCCTTAGATACTCTTCAAGGGACAGTCTGACAGAAACTTTAAACCTGTTTCAAACCAAAGATACTCTCCTGATTTTCTAAGCAGCAGCGAACAAAACTGATATCTTTCGAACCAAACATAACATATGTACATGCTTAGGGGCAGTCACACAACTAGCTAACATCCCATACATCCTATATGTTACTATAAGCTGGAAAATGATGTGTTCTTCATTGTTGTAGCATGAGTCATTGAAGAAAATATACAATCTTCTAGTTTTCCATAGAACCACGTAGTTTAACAAAGATACATCTAGTCCACCACAAGACTGCTCAACGGCTGACTTCTACCTACTCATGAGTTGAATAATAATATGTTCCTAATCAGAAAAAGGAGGCTGTCAGTAAAAGGGCTTATGCCATTTCTTACCTAAGATACTCCATAAGTTTTTTATACGGTATTGAACATTCACTATTCGCATTAAAATACTGTTATCTTTCGAGTCTAAAATATACTCTAAGGGGTAGTCAGACATCTGCCTTAAATCATGTATAATGTGAATGCCTAACATTTTTACTCATAAGCTGAACGATGATATCTTCCTAACTTTGTGGTAAGAGTCTGTGAAGGAAATATACAGTTTCCTAGTTTTCTAGAAACAGTAAGCCGACACCAATTCCATTATAAGACTGATACCACTGGAACCTAAAATACACTCTAAGAGCAGTAAGACAATTTTTATATGATAGCTATTTGAGTTGATAGTATTTGATCATTCATTATTTAAAAAGTTCATTATATTGATTGTTTATTAAAGTCTACTGTAATTAGAAACCGATAAACTTCTCTATTTCCTACTTGCAAACTTTATACTAAAATCACAATCACATAATTGCAGATTACTGAATAAAATTATAGTTTTAATCCGTTGCTGTTTTATAACTTAACTATAACTTTCAATGAGCAAATATCGAAACTGTTATTTTCCCATAACCGGTCATATTTTTAAAATGTTATCGATCCATTAACTGTCGCAATTTCTTATCCAGTTTTTATTGTAATTATTGATTTACATTTGTTATGATAAGTAAGGACCAATGGATCGTTAATAATACCAGTTAGGAACTGCGATCATGTTCATTATTTATCATTATTATATATCATGTTTAATAAAAATATTTGTATTGATATTTTTTACACCTCAGTTTTTGAACTTTAACTCACTATTGCCAGAGAGTCAGATGTTAAGGAAAAAACCGGTTACAGATCTGCTGCAGAACTCAGCAGCTTTAAATTAATATTAAGCAATCAAAAAAAAAAATGTACTGTCACAGTGTTATTAATACAATATATCGCAGAGATTGACAATTTGCTCTTTAGAATAGCTGGGCTACTCCCAACCCAGCTAAGAATTATGTCTTGTTGCGCGTTTACTAACATATCCTTCTATTGCCACTATAGCGAAATTCATAAAAATCGGTATTAGAATTTGGTACCATAAATGTAATATACATATATGTTTAAATTATGTTTTAGTCTCCCCTTTTTTTAAATTTCTGATTAATGTAATACGAGTATCTTCTATAGAAGGCATATTTATTTTATCGATGAATGATCTTACTGAATCTTAACGATTTAAATTTAAGTTCATCAAAGTTAGTAACTTAAAAAATTTAAGTAGATATTAATATATATTCAAATCTTTTTTAAACCCAGTTTGTTATAAGTAAGCTCAGAATTTCTCTAGTATAAGCTATAAGTAAGATTTATTCATTTTCTTTAGAAGTTTAACTTAACGCGATCTTTTCCAGTTAAATTCCACTTAAGTTTTGAAATGATATTCTAAATGGTTTAGTTTTAAAACAATATATGGTAAATGAAAGAATTCTTTTTCTTTTTCGCTTGTATAGATTTTATAATTAGATTTCTTTTGACTAGTTTTTAATGTTTTTTAATTTGCCTTTCCGTATAATTATACTAAATAATAAATCAATTGAAATTTCCCAGGCAATGTTCTGTCATAATCATAGTGACTAAATCTTTCACATTTACAATTCTCACTTGCAGTTTCACAAAAAAAAACTATTCATACATTAAACAATGGAAGGCTAATATAAGATTTATGGCTAATAAGACGGAGTTTTTCTGGTAAACCATTTCTTTTTCATTAAAAGTAAGCATAAAACAACAATAAAATCTCAACGTAAACAGTTTAATTAAGTGTCATGCAGCCGCAATAATGCCGGACATGATTAATGTCTACGACGGTTCCTAACGTGTCTTCTTTTTGTAAAAGCAGATGCATGGCTTAAATACCGTTCGGTGGGGACTGCATATTTTCATATCAAAGTTACCAGTCAAAAAAATCATTTCAAAGCTAGCAGTTCGTGAGTTTTCAAAAGCAAAGAGCCATACAAATCCATTGATAAAAGTAATGACAGCTTTTATGAGAAACGCTTTACCTGGGAGTTGCACGGCATCCGCAGCTGCTGACTTCAAGTTGATAACAAAAGCAGTTTTTCCACCTGCCATTTTTGGCCAAGATCATGGTCATCAAGTGGCACTGCTCTGGCTTATGTAGCTCTCTGACTGTGTGGCTATGTTTGAGCAATGGTGCGCAAGCTTCTGCATCTATTCAAGGTAAAATGAAATGTTTACCATTTCAACTTTTCTATAAACCCGTAAGTAAATCTAAGTCTAACATGTTTTACAGTAACAGACCAAGTTTGTGCAGAAACTTAAGTTTGTTTTTT